TATGTATATTATATATTACATTACTTTCTATGATTAAATTTGATTTCAAATTACTAATTGAAACGAAACGAAAGAACAAAACCAACAACGGCAAATAAAGAAAACATGCTTTAGCTCGAAATAGGCACGTCAAAAATTAACAAACAACAAAGATGGGCTTTTGTTTTAACTTCTGTTGATGGTATACATCTCGTGTACATATTTATATTACAAAATACACCAACATCCAAAGACGCAAGCAAGTCAAGGATCTATCCCACTAACAAATCGCAGTCTCCATAATTTAGACCCACCCCTGGGACCAGATTTCATTGTTTTCCAATAAGTCTCCTCAGCCTGGTGGTCCCAGAGATCCCAAACAACTTCAGCTTTCATCCACCAGGCTTTAATATTCCTGACATCGCCAAGACTTATTCTTGTTTTTCCCCTGCTTTCTCTCCTTCCACAGAATCGAAACCCGCCGATTTGTCCATCTGCTGTGCCGAGTCGAGGACTGGGAAGCGGATGGTGATTCCCCCTGCAGAGAAGGGAGACAAATATCGGAGATACGAGCAAGGGACTTCACGCAGAGGAGAGTCTGAAAAAGGAAAGGGGGGCCAACCAACACAACAACTCGAGCTCGATTCTCTTTTTTGGTTTTATAGCTTCTTAACGACTGAGAACTGTAAAGGGCAGACTAAAATAGGAGTGGAAACTCTAGGAGCGTGACCTTTAGACAGAACGAAGGAAGTCTTTATTGTGAAATCTTTTGTCAAAGTGTATCGTCGTTCAAGAGAGGAGGCAATAATTATGGTGTATTTGCGTAATTTCGGCAGGTGGGCGTGGGCGTGTCCAGTTTTCTGTTTGCTCCTTGCTTCAGGTAAGCCTATACATAATTTATCCTTGAAAATGTGTTGTCACTTTGGGTTGTGGCTGGTCTACACTTATTCCTTTCCTGTAGCATTGACTTTTTTTTATCTCGCCTCTCTCCCCTCCTTTCTACCTCTTCCTCTCTCGCTATCTATCTCCCATTTTCCCTCTCCGACTGTCCCTCTGTCTCTATTACCTTTTCTATTCTCTCTCTCTCTCTCTCTCTCTCTCTCTCTCTCTCTCTCTCTCACACTCACTCTCTCTCTCTCTCTCTCTCTCTCCCTCTCTCTCTTTCTCTCGCTCCTTTAATTATTTAAAAGAAAGCAATGATGGCAAAATAACCATTCTTGCTGCCATTTGTACAAGGATAGACATAGAAGACGTACCATTTGAAGTGACCCCAAACTTCTGCATGTTTGTTACAGTTTAAATTTGAAAACACGCAACAAAATTTAATTTCATATTAATATGGCCAGTTTTGTGGTTACTGGTATAAATAGTGCGGTCCTCCTTTTTTTTCAAGTTATCAAAATTTTAAAATTTCTTTTGTCATTTTCTGTGACGTCCCTAGACTCCTCTTTGTCGCTGCATTTTATGTTAATCACTTTTCTATGTTCTAAAAAGTAAATCACAGGAAACTCATTAATATATACTATGCTGTCAAAACATGTAATTGTTGAATATACATGTAGCTTAAACCCCACTCCCAGCAGCACCCTTGTTATGTGTACCTCCCATTAATACTAGCAAGAAATCGCTTTTCTTCTCAGGTTTTTACAAAATTCAGACACCTATTTATTACAGTTATTCATCTAAACTGTACTAAGGAATATTACTTTTTGTTTAATAGACCATATCAACTAATCGTCCAATTTCTTACTACTTATTACGTGCTCAACATCTTTAAAGTACTGTTTTATCAAAGTTTGTTGGGGCTTTTTTAAAATGAAAATTGTTCCCTTCACTATCGATGATCTTGGCTGCCACACTATACATTTATTACGATCAAGCAGAATTCCCCAAATATCTGCATCATGCTGGGTGCCAAGCAAAAATGTATGATTGTGTTTCAACGGTCATGTAATGGGCAAGGGTCGTACATAACTGGGTGGTTCATTCTTATGTTGAGATAATATTTTTTTAAAAAGAGCTCGTCCAAAAAATCCCAACCTTGACATGTTTTATATTACAGTGTGTTCGATCCTAACTTTTTTTTCGGCGTATCTGCGCCAGTGGCAACCACTATTTTGATATTGCGTGCGCATTGTTTGTGAAGGTTTCAATACTTTTTTATCGAAAATGAATCATCTCGTAGTATAGAATCGACTAATATTAACGATGTCATTCCGATTTTCACAAGAGCAGCCGCCACCTCCCAC